CCCGGGTCCGTGCTGCTTGTAAAATTTCGGCGAACTGTTGTGCTCGTGGCACTGGGTTGTCGGGATTCGGGGTCATGGGTACTGTCGGGTCTTGTCCGTAGTTCAAGTAAAACGGTGACTGTTGGGTCGTGGCGGAAGGTGAATTGTTGTACGCGAACTCGATGAGTGGCAGTTGCTGTTCCCAGGTGGTCGGGTCGTCGCACGTGGCTCGGATGAGTTGTTCCATAGTCTGATTTGTTCGTTCTGTCTGTCCGTCGATTTCGGGGTGGTACGAAGAGCTGAATTGTAGTCGCGTGCCAAACTGCTGCCACAGGTTCCGCTAGAAGTTGCTGGTGAATTTCGTGTCTCGGTCGCTGATGATCGCTGCTGGTATCCCGTGCAGTCGTACGACGGTGGCGATGAAGAGGCGTGCTGTTTCTTCGGCTGTGATCGATTTCTTGCAGGCTGCGAAATGTGCCATTTTTGTCAGTCGATCGACGACGACCAGGATCGCGTCGTTCCCACTCGCCCCAGCCGGTAACCCCGTGACGAAGTCCATCGTCACCTGTTGCCAAGCACGCTCTGGGGGTGGTATCGGCTGCAACTGTCCCGCCGGCCGCTTTCGTGATGATTTCATGAGCTGGCAAGTGGGACACGATGCCACGTGTCGTTGTACGTCGGTCAACATCTCGGGCCAGTAATAATACCGCTGCAGCTGCTGCCGTGTTTTTTCTACCCCGAAGTGTCCCGAGGTAATTCCGTCGTGTGCCTCCTGTAACAGTAATTCCCGTAGCAGTGTGTACCCGGGCACCCAGATGCGGTCGGTCCAGCTTTTACGTAATAGACTCCCCTTGCTGCTGCGAACTGCTGCGAATTTCCTCCCGTGAAGAATGGGTCTGTTTGGTACCCGTGGGTAAATAGGCCTGTCAGTAGTGGGCTGGTCTGGGCGAGTAGTATTGCATGGATATGGGCAGTGGGGCGGGTCAGTGCGTCGGCGATGTTCGAGGCCCCCTTTTTGTAGGTGACCGTGTAGTGAAAATTGGACTCGAGGAAATCGAGCCAACGAATCTGTCGTGGGTTGAGGTGGGGCTGTGCGCGGAGGTACTGTAGTGATTTATGGTCTGTCCGTACTGTCACGTCTGCGCCGGTCAAGTAACAGCGCCACACTTTGAACGCGTGCACGATAGCAAGCATTTCGCGGTCGTGTATCGGGTAATTTTTCTCGGGCGGATGTAGTTTTCGTGACTCGTATGCGATGGGTTGTAGGCCGTTGCCGAAGTCCTGTAACAGTATGGCTCCGATGGCGATGTCGCTTGCGTCGGTAACTACTTCGAATGGGCGGTGTGGGTCGGCGATGCACAGGACGGGCGGTGAACAGAGAACATTTTTCAGGGCAGAGAAGGCAGCATGCTCTTTCTCCCCCCACGTAAAAGCAACCCCCTTCCGCAGCAGATCCGTGAGTGGGGCTGTTAAGCGGGCCATGTCGGGGACGAACCAACGGACGTAATTAACGAACCCCATAAAACTCTGCAGCTGCGTGATGTTTGTCGGGGGGTGCCAGGCTTTGACTGTGTCCAGCTTCTTCGGGTCAATCTCAACCCCAGCCTCCGAAATAACGTGCCCCAAAAACTCTAGCCTGTCTCGAAAAAACTCACACTTAGAACCTTTGGTCAGTAACCGATGCTCCTCTAAAATCTTAAATACTGCTTCGAGATCCGCTAAGTGCTGCTGCTTGTCGCGACTGTAGACAAGGATGTCGTCGAGGTAAACTATCATGCATTTATCTAAAAGTGGCCTAAACGCCTCGATCATGGTCATCTGAAATGTCGCCGGGGCGTTGGTCAGCCCGAAGGGCATCACGGTGTACTCGAACGACCCGTACCTAGTCCGGAAAGCTGTTTTGGCGCAGTCCGATGGTTCGACTCTAATCTGATGGTAACCCCCCCGTAGGTCAATTTTCGAGAACACCCATGCTGTTCGCAGTTGGTCTATCAGTTCGTCGGCGCGAGGGATGGGGTATCGCGACTTTACTGTTACCCTGTTCACTGCTCTGTAATCGATGCACATGCAAAACCATCCGTCTTTTTTCGGCGTGAACAGTATCGGTGCGGCGAACGGTGACGAACTTGGCCGGATAAATTGCTTCTCTAACAGATAATCTAATTGCTTCCGAAGTTCGTTGAGCTCGGGCTATGTCAGTCTGAACTGGCGCTGTACCGTTGGCTGTGCCCCTGGTTCTAATTCTATCCTATGGTCGTGCGCCCGCTGAGGTGGCAGTCCCTCCGATAAGTCGGCAGGAAAAATCCCCGGGTACCGTTTCAACAGCTCCTGTAGTTCGGGTGGTACTAGTGCTAACGGTTTCTGAAAATCGCTCGGCTGCTCTGCTTCTCCTACTACTTCAATGTCCACTGCGTACATGTCTGCTCCAGCGGCGACTGCCCGTTTCATCGTGATGGCGTTGACGTAGACCGTTGAAGACTCAGGCGACTGCCAGCGGGGTAGTTCGATCCAGTTACCACTACTTCGCACAGTGCAGCTTCCTGTCGTCCAGTCAATTCTCGGGTTGTAGCGTCGCAGCCAATCACATCCCAGCAAAATGTCGTGCCCATCCAGTCTCGTCGCGAGCATTTCCTGTGTAAACCCGAAGTTTCCCCCGCAGCGAACTTTTACTCTTTCCACCTTCTCCCGTATGGCCAATGGCGTGCCGTCAACTAAGCGTGCATCGATCTCTGGTAAGCACCGACTGAGTGTCAGTTGCAGTTTCCGTGCGTTTGCGGTATTAACTCAACTGTGGCTTGCTCCTCCGTCGATAAAAATCTTCACTGATGCTCCCTGTATTTTCCCGTGGATCAGTACTGGGCAATCCGTCGCTGTACCCTCCTTATTCATCCGAGCCCGATCGATGGCGTAAATCGGTACTGTGACTCGGTGAGGGTCGGTGCAGTTGGGCAAGCAGGCAGTCTCGTCAGTAGTTGGCCCGACTTCTACTGACTGCTGGCGTTTCCCTGCCTCTGAGACTCCCTCCCCTGCTCTGCTCCGCGGCGCCTCAGCTCCTCTTGGCGTTCGCTCTTGCGATGGCCCGGCCTATTGCAAGCAAAGCAGCGCCCCTTAAACGGTGCGGCAGCTGCATTCGTCGCAACGGCGTGTACGGTGGTGTGCTCGATCGGTCCCCGAGGACGATGTCGGTAGTAGGGACCCCGGTCTCGGACGGCGTAAAATGTCGATTTTCTCAGCGAGCGCGAGAATCTCGTTGAAGTTTGAGAGCCAGCGTAGCATGATCTCGTGCGAGAAGTCCGACTTCAGCCCTCCGACGTAACGGTCCACCCGCTCCGCTTCGTGCATGTAGCCGACTTGCTCGCATAATGCGAGAAAACCACTCGTGTAATCTTGAACCGACCCGAGCTGCCGCCAAGTACGCAGTCTCTAACGCGCCGAAATAGAAGCCGCGATTGGCTCAAAGCGCGCCTGAAGCCCTGCGCACCACGCATCCCACGTGCTGTACTGGGCGGTCTCGCAGAATGAGCTCCAGGTGACAGCTGGACCTGTGGGCCCTTCCTCTTGCGACGGTGGCTCGTAGGCGCGTGGCGACGTCACGATGACTCGCCACCAGTCCATGGCGGGGCCCCTCAGCAGCGAATCGGCATACCGAATCTTCGCTGCGTCCGACTCGACGTAATTCGCGTCGAAGAAGACGTTCGTCGTGAAGACCCACGATTGAACCGTCGGACCTCCACGCTGGCTCGTGTCGAAGCTGGGTGGCCGTTGCGGCTTGAGTGGCATTGGTGCCATAATGGCCTGTTCGCCACTTGTCGCTGCGAATTTCACGTGCCGACGGGCTTCGCGAGGCTCCCGCGGGCTTGGAGCGACCCTGTTTCCTCCCATGCCAGGCATCGGCTGGGCGGCGCCATCACTGGCTGCGCCTGAGCGCTGTCCCACGCTGTCGTGTTGTGTTGGTGTGCCGGACGAAATGACGATCGGCTCGTCCGATTGTGCAGAGGCATTTGTCGGTGTGTGTGGTGGCGCTGGAGTGTTCACCGTTGATTGCTGGCGCGCGGAGTCACGTTCCGCCGTGAGCGTTGCAATTTCGAGCGCTGAATCTTCAAGTTGGTGCACCAGACGATCGAGCTGCTCCTGCGTCAATGTTGCGAGCATGAATTCGGCCATGGCGGGGGTGTCGGGCGAGCTCAGCGAGAGACTCGGTCGTGGCCGTGCGTGCTTACGAGAGAGCACTACGAGTGGCGGTGCTGTGTCGCTGAGAGACGTCTACCCCCCCCCCCCCCCCCTTCCCCCCAAAATTAAGATAGTGAGGAAGCGAAGGTGTGGGTGCGGTTCGAGAAGAGATCGTAGGCTCTGAATACCAAGTGTTACGAGTGCAATTCAGTGAGGGAACGAGAATTGCACTATCGAAGCAAAAGTACAATGAGCGAAGGCATGAGCGAAGAATATATAGCGAAACTACAGTGGTAACGGTAATGGACTGTGGTTGTCGCGCGACGGGCCTGGGACTGAGGTTGGGGAAAATGTCGAAGCGGAGGCCCGGAGCGCGGGTTACCCGCCGAGCCGTGAGGTCGGGGTGCGACGTGCGAAGGTGGCGGGAGGATTGTCGATGCGAGAGTTGCGAGTGGTAACGGTGCTGACTGTGGTGCTACAGTGGTGTAAGCGCTGAGCTGGGACGCGAAGTAAGGAAAAGGATTTTTTCTTACAGATTCTTAACAATGATGTTCTCTTTACTTTGTATTGTAACATTGCACTATTTTGTGTGGTTCATTGTGAGTTGTTTCCAGCCCACTCAGGCCCTGTTGTGTTGCCGCACCACTTGGTCCTTACCCCACTGCACCAGATTGATGCTTCTTCCGGGGTTCCACCGGAGGTCCTGCGAGCTTCATTTATGAGGGCGTATTCCGTGATTCTAGGCTCGGGAAACTGAACCTCTTCCCGGACCTAACGAGTGCAGTGCAGTCCGTCCGCCCAAAAGAACGGTGAACCACTGACGCACTCGTAATCCCCCACTCCTAGGCAAAATGGGTGCGGGACTGGTGCGGGCCTGGATCAGGTTCACAGGGGGGATCAAGGCACCGCATCAAGTGGTGCGGCAGGATGCTGCGTTGCACCAACCGGGTCTGTTGTTTCGCGGAAGTTCCTCATGGTGGACCATGTGATGCGGTGCTGTCCTGTCCGCTCCCGCATCAAGTGGTGCGGCAACAGAACAGGGCCTCAGTGTCACGTGATTGTGCGTGGTTTTCACGTGACAAACCCACCCACCTGTTGCTTCTCCCAACTACCCACCTCGTCATAGCCTCTACACCTCTTCTCCGATATTTCCACACCCTTTATCTTCACGACCCGGGGTACCTACCCTCGAAAAAACCGATTTCGAAGGTAGTTAGCAACGCTCGAAGAATTTTCAGGGTTAATGTAACACAATCTCAATGCGAGCTTAACGCAGGAACAATCTGGCACTGGAATTTTCCCCGCTCACTCGAACTACAAAGTTCGAGTTTCGAAAGGCCTTGACCTGGTGGTTATTTTCTGATAGACCCGCAATGTCAGGGCGTCCGTCTCATCAAACCTTCAACCATGTAGGGTGTCTGGGAAGAATCAAAGTTCAGGGTGTGGAAATATCGGAGAACAGGTGTACCTCCACCCCGCCATCCTTTCTTTCCCACCGCGCCGTCCTCTCTCCCTTCCACCCGCCGTCGCCACCCACCCGCCGTCGCCTCTCCTTCCTACCCGCCGTCGCCCCTCCCTCCTCCTCGCCGTCGCGTATCCCTCCTCCCCTCCGTCGCCTCTCCCTCCTCCCCGCCGTCGCCTCTCCCTCCTCCCCTCCGTCGCCTCTCCCTCCTCCCCGCCGTCGCCTCTCCCTCCTCCCCGCCCTCGCCTCTCCCTCCTCCGCGCCGTCGCCTCTCCTTTCCTCCCCGCCGTCGCCTCTCCCTCCTCCCCGCCCTCGCCTCTCCCTCCTCCGCGCCGTCGCCTCTCCTTTCCTCCCCGCCGTCGCCTCTCCCTCCTCCCCGCCGTCGCCTCTTTTCCCCTCCCCGCCGTCGCCTCTCCCTCCTCCCCGCCGTCGCCTCCGGCGGCAGGTGCACGAGCGCAAGCGCGAGTGTTGGTGCGCGAGCGCGGGTTGTTTTCTGAAACAGCGTGATTATCAGGTGCGTTCCCGGTCCTTTCATCCTCCCTTCCCCCACTGAATTCTCCTCCCCCCCTCACTCCCCTCTTTTTTGTTTTCTTTGCTCTCCTCGTAAAGTTTTTGTGTAGATTGGTCTCCTCTCGCATTGCAATTTCATTTGAAGAAGGGGAGAGACGGAGCGCGAGGGAGAGCATGTACACGGGAGCGAACACGCAGGAAAGCGCGCGTGAGAGTGCGCGTGAGAGAGCGCACGAGAGAGCGCACGAGAGAGCGCCGAGAGAGCGCACGAGAGAGCACGTGAGGGAGCGCGTGAGAGAGCGCGTGCGAGTGAGAGTGCTCCTGAGAGTGCGCGTGATAGAGCGCGTGAGAGAGCTCATGCGCGTAAGGGAGCGCGTGCGCGTGAGAGAGCGCGTGCGCGTGAGAGCGCGAGTGCGCGTAAGAGAGCTCGTGAGAGTGCGAGTGAGAGAGCGCGTGAGAGTGCGGATGAGAGTGCGCGTGAGAGTGCACGTGAGAGTGCACGTGAGAGTGCAAGTGAGAGTGCGCTTGACTGAGTGCGTGAGAGAGAGCACGGGAGGAAGCACGTGGGAGAGCGCGTGGGAGAGCGCGTGAGAGAGCGCATGAGAGAGAGCGCGTGAGAGAGAGCGCGTGAGAGAGAGCGCGTGAGAGAGAGCGCGTGAGAGAGCGAGTGAGACGCGTGAGAGAGTGCATGAGAGTGCGCGTGAGACAGCGCGTGAGAGAGCGCGTGAGAGAGCACGTGAGGGAGCGCGTGAGAGAGCGCGTGAGAGAGCGCGTGAGAGAGCGCGTAAAAGCGCGCCCGAGAGCGCACGTGAGAGAGGGCGTGAGAGAGCGCGTGAGGGAGCGCGTGACAGTGCGTGAGAGAGCGCGTGAGAGAGAGCGTGAGAGAGTGCGTGAGAGCGCATGAGAGTTCGCGTGAGAGAGCGCGTGAGGGAGCGCGTGAGAGAGAGCATGAGAAAGAGCATGAGAGGGCGCGTGAGAGAGCGCGTGAGAGAACGCGTGACAGAGCGCGTGAGAGTGCGTGTGATAGAGCGCGTGAGAGAGCGCATGAGAGAGTGCATGAGAGATGCGTGAAAGCGGGCGTGAAAGCGTGCATGAGAGAGCGCGTGAGAGAGCGCGTGAGTGAGCGCGTGAGAGAACGCGTGAGAGAGCATGTTAGCGAATGCGTGAGAGAGCACATGAGAGAGTGCGTGAGAGTGCGCGTGAGAGAGCGCGTGAGAGAGCGTGGAGAGAGCGTGTGAGAGAGCGCGTGAGAGACGCGTGAAAGCGTCCGTGAGAGTGCACGTGAGAGAGGGCGTGAGAGAGCACGTGAGAGAGCGCGTGAGAGAAAGTGTGAGAGAGCGCGTGAGGGAGCGCGTGAGAGCGTGTGAGAGCACGTGAGAGAGCCCTAAAAGAGCAGGTGAGAGAGCGCGTGAGAGAGTGCGTGAGAGTGCGTGAGAGGGTGCGTGAGAGAGTGCGTGAGAGAGTGTGTGAGAGAACGCACGAGAGAGCTTTATGAGCACGCTGGGGCATATGCACTAGCATCTATTCTGCTGGTGCTTGGGCACCTGGGACTACTTATGCAAACGAGTGTCGCTTTCTGCACTAGTGTTTAGTGTGTCGGCTTCTAAGGTGTTTGCTTCTCTGTTTTTGCTGTGTGCGGGCCGTGTGTGTGTTTGCTTCTCTGTTTTGCTCTGTGCAGGCCGTGTGTGTGTTTGCTTCTCTGTTTTGCTGTGTGCAGGCCGTGTGTGTGTTTGCTTCTCTGTTTTTGCTGTGTGCAGGTCGTGTGTGTGTTTGCTTCTCTGTTTTTTCTGTGTGCAGGCCGTGTGTGTGTTGGCTTCTCTGTTTTTTGCTGTGTACAGGCCGTGTGTGTGTGAACTTCTCTGTTCTCGCTTTTTGCAGGGCGCGTGAGCTGAGAAGGGAGATGAGGGAGGGAGTGGGAGGGAGATGAAGGAAGGAGGGACGGAGGGGTGTAGGGAGGGTTAAGGGAGATCAGGGAGGGGGGGAGGGAGGGGAATGGGGGGCAAGGTAGCGATGGTTTATTAATTGGTGAACTTCATTGGCTATGCTTGCATGCTTAGTATTAGCTGTATGTTTCTGCGTGTTTTTCTATCTGCGTATGTGTGTGCGTACATGTAGGCTATGTAGTTGTGTGGCTCTGTTTCGGGGTGAGTGCTAAGGGTACGTTCTTGTGGAGACACTTGTGTCTCAATCCCCTTTTTTCCGAGTCGCGTCTACACATTTTTGCAATCTCGCGTCACAAAAAATGAGTGTATCACGAAACTGTGCGACCAGGTGAAATTTACAGCTGTGCTCATTTGATTGGATTTCAAACTTGACTGAACACCTGTTTCTTCAACTGTCTGGTTCGGGTGGGGTTTTGACGAGCGGAACTTTTTCCCGTTCGAGATTTTTACTGTGGAATGTCCAGGTGCATTGACATTTCGAACCGCATACAGAGTTTGTTTACAATGACGGGTCGATACGCAACTCGTCCGCGACATCAGCGCGTTTCACGCCGACAAATGAAAAATACATTAAAAGTTGCACAAGGGCGACACGCGTTTGTGACATTGTACGTTATAAGCTGGTTTTACGCGTCACAAAAGGATTGAGACACAAGTGTCTCCACAGGAACGTACCCTAAGTGCCTCGTGTATACAATTGCGGTTGTGATCGTTGGTGGGGCAGCTTTGGTTGCCTCTTCCATACCAGATCAATCGCAGTTGCATTAACGATGCATTCTAGCATTAGCTTCGAAGCACTCACAACCAGGGCTAATTTTTGGTTTTGAGCAACCCTTATGATCAGTGCTGCACCTAAGCAAAAACCTGATTATCAGTGTGACCCGGTAGGAAATTTCTTTTGCATCAGGGTTCAGGCTAGGTTTGAAAATTTTACCCTGAGGCATCAGTGTAAGACTTGTAAAAACCCTGCTCAGTTATTGTTACAATGAGTTTAGTCCGAGTTGAGTCCTTGGCGTTGTGTAGAGCGAAACTGTATTTCTGGCCAATAGTGGCCCACTTCGTGCCAACACATGTACGCAAATTCAGGTTTTGACAGTTGGCCAACGGGAATCCCGAGTTACGGGAAAGTGGGGGGAGGTCCGGGGGGGGGGTGTGGTACGGTACTAGCTTCAGGGTAAAACTCGCTAAGAAGAACGGTTACCTTGGTGCATCAGTGTGCCTTAAACGTATACCCTGGCTGATCAGGAAAATCACAGCTCCAAAAAAAATTACCCTGAGGCATCAGTGTGACTACCGTACCAAAAACCACCCTGATAATCAGGGTATCAGGGTGATTTATACTGATAAAATTTGGCCTGCTCACAACTGGTGTTTCTCATTTTTGTACAAGTTTGTGTGCTGTTGTTTGGGTCTGTTTTTGTACACGTTCGTGTCCAACCAATTGTTCCATTTGCCGTACTTATCGACGACTATGGAATTATTGGTTACATTTGGTTTCACATTTTTGGGGCAACTAAAAAGTTGAACAGTATTTTTTTCTCAAACGGGCAGGGAAAAATCACTGTTCACGGTCAGTTCCCCAAAAAGTGAAACCAAATGTATAAGGTTGCTACGCAACTCAAAAACAATCTACGGTCACACTCGGACAGGTCAGATCATTCGATTTCAGTGATCCATTTGCATACAGTCTAGGCCTGTCGAAGCTTCTGGGACCAGAACATTGCCCCCTGACCTCCTCAAGACGAGGGATCGAGGGAGGGCCAACATCACTGGCATGCAACATAGGCCCTGTTCGGGAGCCCCTCAACCAGAGGAAGAGCATGCTGCTCTGTACCGAGCCTCAAAGAGAAAAACGACAACACACCACTTGGTCAATTGTACAATATGAACAGCATTACAATCAGATTTGCCAGCTGGAGAAAATGACAGGGGTTTGCATAGTCAACGCCCCAATTTGAGCAAAAACGACAACCTTGGCACGCCGGGGGTCAAGATGCCAAATCGCACCTACCATCTCTGATGCTCTCTCAACTTCCCATTTCCCATTTCCTCTCCATCCCACTTCCCACATTTTCCAAGACGAAACAACCCTTCAAACACCAGAAAGAACCACCAAACAAGGTGAAAGTGAAGGCATTAGGGCTTCCTCAATTTTTTCGTTCGTTTGTGTCCACCCTGGGTAATCAAGATGTAGAAACCCAGATGCCCGCCAAAATTTTTTGACCTCTGATCCTCACCTTCTCCTCGCTAGAGAATGGAGAGGAGAAAGTGAGGACACTTTTGCCTGTGATTACTGTGCAGTCAATGGACTGTAGGGGTAGCGACTCGGAATCTCGAGCCGCTGCAGAGGAGAAGAAGAGGTTGATGTTTCCAAACCTCGAGGTTTGGTCACGAAAGTGGTTACATGGGGGTCGCACGCGATTTTTGGGCTTCCGAGCCTAGTACTGTTCCTCCTCTGGATCTGGTACTCCTCTTCCTCTGGTTCTCCCGATCAAGGCCATAGTATGGTAACCCTATGCAATTGTATGCAAAACCGTCGATACCTCGGTTTTGGAGGTTTAGACATATTGCGCTAGTATCTAGGTGTTACGAGTGCAGTTGAGTGATCGAGCGAGAATTGCACTATCGAAGCAAGCGTACAATGAGCGAAGGCATGAGCGAAGAATATATAGCGAAACTACAGTGGTAACGGTAATGGACTGTGGTTGTCGCGCGACGGGCCTGGGACTGAGGTTGGGGGAAATGTCGAAGCGGAGGCCCGGAGCGCGGGTTACCCGCCGAGCCGTGAGGTCGGGGTGCGACGTGCAAAGGTGGCGGGAGGATTGTCGATGCGAGAGGTGCGAATGGTAACGGTGCTGACTGTGGTGCTACAGTGGTGTACGCGCTGAGCAGGGACGCGAAGTAAGGAAAAGGAATTTTCCTTACACTACCCCCCCCCCCCTCTAAGGAGGTCCTCCTTACGAAAGCGTGTGTACATCCCTGAAGTTTCGGCTGCGCAGATACTCGGTGAGGACGGGGTGGTTTTCGATTCTCTCCAGGGGAACCCAGTTGTCTTCGGTGGGTGTACGGTCTTTCCAGCGGATCAGGAACTCGATCCTTCGGGCTCCTCGAGGGTCACAAACTCTGTGGCTCAGAATTCTCTCGGGTGTGATGATTGGTTCAGTCGGTGGTCGTGTCATGCTGGCTGGGCGATTACGTGGCAGTTGGCTTGTGGACGGGACGTAAGAGCGAAGCAGACTGACGCGGAATGAGGGGCTGACGTACCAGTCAGCGGGGAGGAGGAGGTGGGCGGTGACGGGCGTAATCATGTGGCTTATGCGGAATGGCCCGCAATATCGGTGGCGGAGTTTTGGGGTGATGGGCAGGCGGAGGTTCTGAGTGTCGAGTAAAACTAGGTCGCCAGGTTGGTAAGTGACAGGTCGGCGGTGGCGGTCGGCATTGCGTTTAGCGATGATGTTCGATTTTTTTATTGCGTCTGCTGCCCGGGTCCGTGCTGCTTGTAGAATTTCGGCGAATTGTTGTGCTCGTGGCACCGGGTTGTCGGGATTCGGGGTCATGGGTACTGTCGGGTCTTGTCCGTAGTTCAGGTAAAAAGGTGACTGTTGGGTCGTGGCGGATGGTGAGTTGTTGTATGCGAACTCAATGAGT